AGCCCAGGTCACATGCCCCATGCCTTGATCTGCATCCCCCCTTCCAGCTCAGAGAGCTCATCGTTGGGGAAGTCGTCCCAGTCCTCATGAGCTCATTCCCTGAGTGAAAGCGAGCGCCGCGGGGCCTCGCCGGGGTGCTCGGCCTCCGCCGAGGCTCCCGGTCAGGATATGCTTTCCCAGCACCATCCGCCCAGACTTCTTGGTAACCTGATGGTCTGAGACAAACTCTCTTCCTGCTGCCACTGCTAATGACATTACATTATCTTAATAAGGTCCCCAGAGCTGCCAGGAGTGGGAGGACTAAAAAGAAAATACAGAAAAAACAGAAAAAGCAGCCAGGCTCCTGGCTGTGTTTGGAGAGCAGACAGCTGCCGGGCGGTCCGGAGCGGTCGGCATTTGGCTTGCACTGGAGCCAGGGCATTGGAGACTGAAAGTTGCGGCTTTAATGGGATGTTAGTAGGGGATCTAGTGGAAACTGGTGAAATCATGGCTCGTCAGAGATGGACTTCTCAGGGTGCAGAGGGTGTCCATTCTTTCCCGGGGCCTCCGGGCGACCTCTGTTGTCTCGGGGGCTGGTCCCTTGGCAAGTGTTACAGTTTCTTGTCTTCACTACGTGCCCCGCCAGACATGGCTGGAGCACCTCTGAGAGCCAGGCTGCAGACGGATGCAGGGGCTAGAGGAGGGAAGATGCCCAGCCATGCTCTCTAGGGGCAACTCTGATAGGCTGCCTCCCCTCAAGGACCCATGCGGCGGGATAGGAGGAATTAAGAGGTGTGTAATGCCTTCACGGGCCCAGGGCCAGGCCCAGTTGGCAGTGATGATGGCTGAGTTGGGGCAACAAGAAAGGGGGGCCACCTGCGATGTGGGTGGGCAGGGACAATACCCACCAAGTGCAGCAGCATCCCTCTGCATGCTGAGAGCACAAATACCGTCTTGTCTTCCCCAGCACACATGCTCCCTGTTCTTCAACACCCGTCCCAGTGGCCACCTCTGCCAGAACCCTGCTGTCCTGACCTTTGGCCCTGGCTTCCAGACTTTCCGGGAACAGAAGGTAAAGGACTCCTGATGAGGAGGGTCAGGGGGAACCTTGGCTCTGCCCTATGACCTGGAGTTGTTCCTGTCTCCCAGGTCGGAGCCACAGACCAGTTTCAGCAGGAGCCGTCTCTCTGTGGCCAGCACAGGCACCAACTGGCCTTTCTCAGGAAGAAATTGGTGACCTTGGACCAGGCTGGGGCAGTGGAAACACAGACTCAGGCACAGGCGGAGGGACTCAGAGTCCAAGTGATTATGAGGTGACCAGACTAGAGGAGGGGACAGCATGGGGCCAGAGAAACACAGTCTGGTTGAAGCCTTTGAGGCCCTGCCTGGGGCTCCAGGGGTATCTCATATCTGGAACAATCGGTGGTGGGACAACTGGTGGGACTGGCTGAAATCTAGAGCCGCCTTGGAAGTGAGGTTCCTGACACCAAGGAATAGACACCACCATAGGCGGGGAGGCCTCAGTCCCTTCTTGGAGACCCACAGAATGAATGAAGCAGCAGGCAGGGCCTTAGGTCCACCCCAGGCCCCTCCACCATGTTGTGGCTGCTGAAGTCATTAGGAATGATGTCCCCATGGTGTGTGGACATTCTGGGAGTTGGCATCTGCGGCCATAACTCGGAGCCTGGGCCAAAGGGCCACCTTGCAGGGGGATGGTGGTCCCCTCCAACATTACCCAGGAGGGATGGGAGGTGGGGTCAGCATCAAGGAGAGAGGAAAGGAGACCTGGCCAGAGAGTAGAAGCTCAGTGGCCATTAAGACTCGGGCTCTAGAAAGGGAAATAGTGCCCAGAAGAGGACTTGAGGGCAGCAGTTCTGGGGTCCCTCAGCCCCGGGGAGTGGCGTGGCCTTGCAAGGGAGTCTGGGAATTCTGAGTCAAAGAGGCAACAGCTGCTGCTTTAAGTGGCTGCTGAAGAGCCTCCAGCTGGGGTGGGAGGGGAGGTGTTATGGATGGTGCTGCAGGAAGTCAGCCCCAAAGAGGTCCCCAAGGAAAGGCTGCAAGGAGACCTGGCTACAGAGAGAGTTATGGGAAACCCCGACCTGGACAGGCCAGGATTGGGGCGCTTGAAGACCGAAAAGAATCCTTGCAGGGCAGCTCGGGGGAGGGGCCAGAAGGGAAGCGAGGAATGAGTGATTCTGAAGAATGTGACGGGAAGGGGGTTTGGGGAGTGTTCAACACGGATAGCCACAGCCCACAGGGCGAAATAAAGTCCTTATGCGAGGAGCCCAGGAACATCTCCTCCAACCTCCCCCACTCTGGGGTGTCTCTGCTCCTGGGAAGGGGGGCACCTAAGAGCTTTTCTGATCTTTCTCGGGAGGGTCAGAGCCCAGTGGGAACCAAGTGAGGGGGAGGTGCCGACGGAGGCTGGAATGCAGCTGCTTCGGCTGGAGACAGGCCTGGGGGCCCAGATGGCTGTTGTTCTGCTGAGCAGGAGTAAACCGGAGGGAGGGCAGGGCAGATGGCTGGACGGCTGACCCTCCCCACGCCTGATCTGGCCTGGAGGGGTGTAAGACTGCAGGCAGAGAGGCCACCCTAAGTGATCATCAGGAATGTGCTGGGAGGGAGGGTTTCTGGAATGCAATCCTCCTATACAACACAGCATCCAGGCCCAAACCAGGAGGCCTACACAGAGAATGCTGTAGTGTCAGGAGGGCGAGAAGTCTGACTGTCTTGACTGACCAAGGTTAAAACTTTCCCTAGGGAAGGCAGGGCCCACAGACCGGCGTGGCCCTCCCAGAAGGCTGTGTGGGAAAGGCCCGGGGGGGGGGGCGGGGAGGGGCGGGGAAGGAAGGGAGATGGGGACTCAGGGTGCTGGGCGGGCTCACTGTGCAGTACCCTGAGACTTACATCCTGTTAAAGCCACAGACCTGGCTGTCCCCTGAAGGAAGAGGTGTCCCTAGTAAGGGGACAGGCATGGAAGTTAGGGAGGAGGACACTGGATGGCAGCAGGGGGCCCTCTGGGCTGACTCAGGGGCTGACTTTCATGTCTGGCCTGTGAAGAGTGTCCCTGTCTTTGAAGCTATCCCCAGGGGCCTGGGCTGGGAGTCACAGGCTGAGAGAGGCCTGGCTGGAGATGAGTGAACTGTACTTGAATTCAGATTATGCTCTGGTTCATCTCCCTTCTGATATCCCCACTTTTGTCAAGCCTAGTTTAGGTGTTCTAACCTGGCCCATGGATCTAAGGAGAATTCAGGAGGAAGCGGGGGCGGCAGGGCCACTAGTGAGGGACACCCAAGGTGGGGTGAATCTCGGGGACTTTGGGTCCAGCTGCTCTGCAGCTATAACAAAAGCAGAGCACCTTGAGGTCAGCATTGCCAGGTGGAAGAGGACACACCCTGGGTATGTGGGGCCCTGCCCCTCTGCACCTGGAAATCCTCCCTCACTGTCAGCCTAAAGCATCTGGGAGAGATTCTGTTTGGGGTTTCCCTCGCAGAAGCAAGGTATGAGGGGTCCCAAGGCCACCTTGGAAACAATCAGTGTTGTCCTTCGAAGCAGTCAGCAGAGGAGCCTGCAGAGCTCTTTCAGCAAAGCCACTGTCACCTGAACATATTTCTGATGCCCTTCTCTGGCCATCTCAAATAGTTTTCAAGCCATCAAAGAGAGTGGGTCTCATTACTTTATATGACTCATCTTGTTTTCCCCCAAAAAGCACTGCCCCTGGTTTGATAAATTCAACCTGATTCAAAAAATTTCACCCCAACTTCAAAGGCCAAAACTTTGGATCCACTGAGGAAAATCAAAAGAACAAGCCCCCAGAAATTCCCAAAGATAAATTTCTAAGAGGATGTGGGGTGACGGCACCACTGGAATAATGTGGGTCTCTCAGGATGAGTTCTTTGATGGGGACAGTGGCTGTGTGGGCAAAGGACCTAGTCTAGTAAGTCGTGGTCACAGGGCAGGTATCCCCCCAGGCTCTGTCTACATCTACACGCTGAAATGACTAAGCCCTGATGCAAGGCCACACCAGAACCTTCCCCACTGTGGACACGGCTGGGAAGGTCAGCCTCACACCAGTGACCACGAACGGCACCAACAGACCATATTTTCCCTAGATGAGGCCCATCAAAAGCCAGCAGTGGACATATCTGACCCCCATCATCCCACCAATCAGTTCTGACTACAAAAGTTGCTGCACAGAGAAGATACATAACACACATTTGCTGAATGGGATGGAGTCTATAAAACATGAAAGGTTTATAATGTATTGATTTCAAATTTCGAATTTTATAACAGCGTAAAGTTAACCCTCTTCCTAACGTGGAGAGTCAAGGGGGAGAACATAAAAGGAGGCCCATCCTTTAGGTCTGACCCAAAAGTGGATTGAAAGGGCCTACAGAGGTCTCTACAGTCTCCTGGTCACAGGTTTTGCTGTCACACATGGACTGGAGTTCAAGTGCCTGCTCTGCCATTTTCCAGCTGTGCTTATGAGTGGCCAACTGGCCACTGAGAACTGGATCGCTCATCCGTGAACAAAGGCCGTGGCACCTCCTCATCTTCCCAGGGCAGGGCTGGGGTATAGGAGAGTATATGTAATACACTGAGGACAGCCCCTGGCATGCTAAACGTGCTCCAAATAAAGTAAAGGGGGTGCAGTCCATTGGGGAGTGTCAAATGGCTTCGGTGGGTCTACAGTGGGGAAGAGGAGAAGGAGGCCAAGCAAGCAAGGTGCCTTAACCAGAACAGCTCTGCTCTGCTCTGCATTGTATCTTGGCCTTCCACCTAATATTGTATTTAAGAACACATTTTAGAGTTCAAAGAGTTGAAAATTACTATACCAGGTCATGCCTCGCACGCCCTCTAGTAATGAAATTGATGTGTGCCTAGGATCCAGTTTGGCCTCCCCTGAAATGGGTCTCTCTTTCCCTCCTGGTCCTCCATGCTCCCCTCTGCTGCCATCACCGTGGCCTCTGGTCCTCCCCCAGCACCCCTGAGGCCCACCACCCAAGGGCTGTGATGCGCACCTGGTGAAGCGGACCTCGCAGATGTTGCACATGTATGGCTTCTCCCCGGTGTGGGTCCTCATGTGCCGCGGAAGCTTCCCAGCCCCCATGATGACTTTGTGGCAGATGGGGCACTGCTGAGAGGCCTTGGGCTTCAGCTTGCGTTCCTCCACCAGCGGCCAGGGTGGAAAGAGGCCCCCCAGATGGGTGGCACTCAGGAAGTTGAGATAGGCACCGTAGTCATTCTCTGCCTTGATGGGGCCCAGTGGCCCCCCAGGAAGGTCCGGGAACATGTCCTTGAAGAAGTCATTAGGGAAGGGTGGCGGTGGGGGTGGGGGAAGCTCTTCCTTCTCCTCCTCCTTGATCTTCCGGTTCTTGATGACCAGGTCCAGTGGCCCACTGTCCATAGGCTGCTCAGGCAGCTGGGCAAAGGCACCGAAGTCCCCTGGCCAGAGGTGTGGGAAGAAGTCCGGGGCAAATGGAGATAAGGAGGGTCTCCTGTCAGGGATGTTGGCTTTGGGGTACAGGTTCTCCCTCAGCAGAGATTCGATGGAGAAGTCCCGAATCACGCCCAGATGGCCAGGGCTGCCAGCCTGGAAGGAATCAGGGAAGTCCCTGGGTGTGTCTGAATAGGCCTTCTCTGTTAGATGGTCTGTCTTGGTAGGGCTTTGGTGGCAGTTGATGTCCTGGGGGTCAGGCAAGTTTTCTTGATCAGCAAAATCCTCCGTGTCATCATCCTCCTCCTCCTCCTCTTCCTCCTCCTCCTCCTCTTCATCCTCCTCGTCATCGTCATCTTCGTCATCGTCATCGTCCTCCTTGTCGTCCTCCTCCCCCCCATCCCCCCCGGGCTCCATGATCTCCAGGCACACATTCACGATGCACTGGATCTCCAGCATCCTGGCGGCATTGAGGATGTGCTTGACGTTGGAGGCTGTGATGGTGAGCGTGGAGGTGTAGGCGAACTCCAGGATGGCGGCCAGAGCCTCGGGCTGGACAAAATCGATCTCGTAGACATAGGGTTGGCTGGCTAAGGTGCCGGCCGTGAAGAGTTTCTTGAAGTACTTGCTGCAGGCGGCCAGGACGGAGCGGTGGGTGCGGTACTCCTGCTCCTGTACCACCAGGAGCACGTCGCAGAGCAGGCCATCATGTCGCTGCTCGTTCAGGCTACACAGGACCTCACTGCTGTGGTTGGGGAAGGGAATGCCAATGAGCTCGTCAATGCCATTGGCCATGTTCTCAGACAAAGCCCTGTAGGGACACACAGAGAGGGAGACTGGGGTTAGAGGACATGGTCCCAGGAGGGGACACTTAGCTTTGGGACTCTGGACCAGCGAGGCCAGGCTGGTGGGCATACTCAGCCACACCATCCCTGCCTGAGCACACCCCCCACCCCCCTCTAGAAAGCCAGCCCTCCTTCCTCTTAGCTTTTCCAAATCTCACCTGCCATTCAGAGCCCAGCTCATAAGCTGGGGTTTTTCACTATTCCACTGGGCTCTTCCCTGGACTCCTAAGGCCCTGGAGTTAGGCTTCTCATTGGGCAGTTGGTATATGCTATTTAGCGGAGGCTATGGAAGCTTCCATGGGCATAATTTCACCAAATTCCACTTTGTTAACATGAAATTGTGGACCACTGGGATGGACAGCCACATGAAACTCAGCTGCCCAGTGTGCTACGGGAATGGCGTGCACTACTCACAATATCTGGGGGTCAAGGACCAACGGGGGAACGTTTTCTCACAGCTCAGTGCTCCTGCTGGGAATATGCTGTAGTTGATTCAACAAATCCTCTGACTCCTGTAGCAGACTAACATTTTGCATTGACTACTGTTAGGGGCTGAGTTGTGTCCCCCCAAATTTATATGTTGAAGTCCTAACCCCCAGGACCTCAGAATGTGACTGTTTGGAGGTAGGTCCTTTAAAGAGATGATTAAGGTTAAAATGAGATCAGATGAGTGGGCCCTAATCCAGGATGACTGGTGTCTTCATAAGAAGAGGAGATTAGGACACAGACACACAGACAGAAGTCCATGTGAAGACACAGGGAGCAGACGGCCATCTACAAGCCAAGGAGAGATGCCCAAGAAGAAACCAACCCGCTGACACCTTGGTTTTGGCATTTCAGCCTCTGGAACTGTGAGGAAATAACTTGCTCTTGTTTAAGCCCGCAGTCTGTGGTCCTTTGTTATGGCAGCCCTAGCAAACTGATACAGCTACTAGGAATCTTAAAACTGAATTTGTGGCCCATTTTCAGCAAGGGAACAGGGGCCTTGTGGCATATGTTTTGGCTTCTGACCTTACTTCTGGTTTCATCTTAGTTGATGAAGTTTCCCTTCATTTGCAATTCTTGATCGTTTTTTTTTTTTTTTTGTGAGGAAGATCAGCCCTGAGCTAACATCTGTTGCCAATCCTCCTCTTTGTGCTGAGGAAGACTGGCCCTGGGCTAACATCCGTGCCCATCTTCCTCCATGTTACATGGGAGGCCGCCACAGCACGGCTTGACAAGCAGTATGTCGGTGCGCGCCTGGGATCCAAACGTGCGAACTCCGGGCCGCCGAAGTGGAGTGTGCGAACTTAACTGCTACGCCAGGGGCTGGCCCCCCTATTTTTAAATATTGACGTCTTATATATGTGTATATCTTTGAGCCGTTTCACCTATAAATAAACATTTAAATTCAATATTAATTCAAGTGCATTGTTAGTTAATGCATCACGTCTATCTTCTGTTATCCTCAGAGAAACACGGCCCCTGGGAGGAAAAGCCTTTTCTGAGACAGCTTAGGACTGTATATATTATACACAAAGTGAGGCGAGTGATAGCCGCCAGAGGGAGAGGTGCAGGACAGAGGACAACAGGCAGCCCCTCCTTTCAGGGAGCAGAACTCAGAGCCCAAGTCGGCAGATTCAACCTGGACGAAAAGCCACCTCAATTTTTATGCCAGAGGACGTAGAGCCTTCCACTCAGGGCAAAGCTTCATCATGGCCCATGCTTAGATCCTACAAAGGCCTGGCACTTACCCTGGTGCAATTACAGTGGGGATAAAATAAAAAGAAAACCCAAACCTGAAAGCCCCATGCCCCAGTGGGAAGAGCTTTGGGAATCCCCACACATTTGCCTTCTGGGTGTTTCCGCCCTGGGAAAGCAGATGCAGGGTGAGAGGAGGAGCCAGAAGTGCCAGGCCCATGCTGTGTGCCCCGAGGGGGGCCTGGAGGCATCAGGGACCCAGAGGAGCATGCAGGGTGCCCCTCTCCTTCTCTGAGCCTTCCCTGTGCTGTCCCACCTGGGCAGGTGCTCAGGAGGTTTCCCAGGGTGAAGGCCTCACTGCTTTCCTGCCTTCTCATCTTTAAAAGGACCAGGGACCCCACAGGCCATGCATTCATTCCCTAAATAGTCACTAGGTTTCTCCCCGAGCCAGGCACTGCCCTGGGCCCCAGGGATGCACAGAGAGCAAACCAAGAAGGCCCTGGTCTAATAGAGCTTACAGAGACATGACAACTGTGATAAAAATAGAGCAAGATTCACTGAAGAGGATCCATAGATGGCAAATGAGCCGTCTTCTTTGAAAAGATGTTCAACGTCATTAGACTTTAGGGAAATGCAAGTTAAAACCACAATGAGACATCACTAGATACCTATCAGAATGGCTAAAATAAAAAACAGTGACAACACCAAATGCTGACAAGGAGAAACTGGATCTCCCGTGCATTGCTGGTGGGGATGTAAAATGGCACAGCCTCTCTGGAAAACAATTTGACAGTTTCTTAAAAAACTAAATATGCAGCTACCATGTGACCTAGGAATTGCATTCTTGAGAATTTATCCCAGAGAAATGAAAACTTATGTCCACACAAAGACCTGTACATAATGGTCATCACAGCTTTATGCATACTAGTCAATAACTAGAAAGAACCCAGATGTCCTTCGATGGGTGAATGGTTAAACCAACTACACCATGGAGTAGTCAGCAATATACTCAAATGAGCGACTGACACACTCAAAAACCTGGATGAACCAGAGTGAATAAAGCCAATGTCAATAGGTTACAAACTGTATGATTCCATTTCTATAACATTCTTGAGATGACAACATTATAGAAATGGAGAAGAGATGGGTCATTGCCAGCAGCTAAAGAGGGGATGTGGGCAGCAGGGGGCATGGCTATAAAAGGACAACATGAGGGGCCAGCCCGGTGGCGGAGCGGTTAAGTTCATACGCTCCGCTCCGGCGGCCTGGGGTTCACAGGTTCGGATCCTGGGTGCAGACCTGTGCACCGCTCACCCAGCTATGCTGTGGCTGCATCCCACATATCAAGTAGAGGAAGATGGGCACAGATGTTAGCCCAGGGCCAATCTTCCTCAGCAAAAAGAGGAGGATTGGCAACAGATGTTAGCTCAGGGCTGATCGTCCTCACCAAAAAATAAATAAATAAATAAATAAATAAATATAAAAGGATAACATGAGGGATAGCCTCATGGTGATGGACATGTTCTGTATCAACGTCAATATCTTGGTGATGTTGTACTATGGTTTTGAAACATGTTACCATTGGGGAAAACTGGGTAAAAGGTACATGGGATGTCTGTATTATTTCTTAAAATGACATGTGAATTGATGGTTATGTCAAAATAAAAAGTTTAATTAAAGAAATGATAAGAAACAACTTAAATCAATCAATGAATCATCCCCCATCTCTATCATCTGTCTCTCTATGGCAGTGTATGAGGCAGTGGGTCAGGGGGGAGACTACTTTACCCACGGCTGTCAGGGAGGGCCTCCTTGAGGAAATGACATTTGAGCTGAGGCCTGGATGGTGAGAAGGATCCAGTCATGGGACAACATAGGGAACAGTGTTCCAGGCTGTAGGAACAGCAAGTGCAAAGTAGGTAGTCCCACCAAGGTGCCCTGGGTCTGGGAGGCCAAGTTCTGCTCTGAATGGTTCCATTTAATTTGGTTCTTTTCTACTGAAAACACATTCCACTTCTGCATCTCTCTGGGGGGCTCAGATGGACCACAGCTACCTAGATTCCCCTGAGGTCCTGTGTAGGACTCCCCTCCTTCTCTCTGACTAGAGAGGGTGTCCCCAGGCTGTAGACCTCAACCATCGGTGCCACAGAGAGAGCTCTGAGGCTGCCTCCTACCGTCCAGAGAAGGAGAGAACCTTCTGGAGGCTCCCTCTTTCCCTTGCACCCCACAGCTGCTCACTCCTGTAATGGTGGGAATCAGAGGGATGCAGAGGCCTTGGAAACTAGGAAAGTTGAGAAGCTCAAGGCCAGGCAACTCCTTCAGGGCTGCCATGCCTGCTGTGGGTCCCAGGAGGGCTGCTTTGCAGGCAGCTGGGCTGGGGGCCAGCAGGCAGCCCCTCTAAGTCCCCTGTCAGAGGGGAGACCTCAAGTCTGAGCTACTTTTGGTTTTGAACGCTCGGAGCCAGATGCAGTGTGACCTTCTGTGCAGTGAGTAAGGGGATCCGAGGACACTGGTCCCCATCTTCTTGGCCCCTAGCTCCCTGCTTCAGACACTCAGGCCCTATGGGGCAGACTGGAAGGATAGGGCAGGGCCAACCTCAGCCAGTACCTTCTCTCTGCAGGCCAAGTTCCAGCCCTACACAATGGGTTTCCTGAATGAGGAATCAGGATCACCATCTGCCGTCAGGCCTGCTCAGTCTTCACAGTAACTGGGATTTAGCTCCTATTATTATCCCCATTTTACAGGTGAAGTAAATGAGGCACAAAAGGATAAATCACACAGACAGTAAGTTTGGGCATAAAGATCTGAGCCTGAAGTCTGGCTCCCCAACCACGCTCTTAACCACAACCAATCCAGCTGCTGCCTCTGACCCTCAAAGGTAACCAAGAGTGGCCAGTAGCCTCCGCTGTCACCTGAGCGGCCCAGACTTTGGGCACTCAGAGGTGCTCAGGGTGCCTTTGTGGAGAAGGGTGGGAAGGATGTGGGTCAGCAGGGGAGGGTGGCCCTGCCTTCCCAGGAGGGCCAAGCAGGCAGGGGCGGCAGGGCAGGTGAAGTCCTCAGGCAGCCTTGGCCAGCCTCGGGAGCTGGAGTATCAAGAAGACCTCTCCACTGAGCCCCAGGCTGCTGCCTTTCTCAGAGCTAGGGGAGGGGCTCCTCTCAGACCCCTGGGAACATGCCTGCTTGCTCCCCAGGCAGCCTCCCCAGCCCTGTGGAAGTGGCCCCCTTGGTGGTGGTCTTGGCAAAGCTCTGCAGGGGGAAAGAGGAGGAGGGGAGAAGAGGAGATAGA